TCAGATTTGCTGCTGTCCTCCTTTCTTGAGGAGAAGCAGCTAAACAAACATCACATAAAAGACAGTGCCAGAGTTTCTTAATAAAAGTGTCTGTGTTTCAGCCCTTTCCAGCTTTAGTAAAAATATCAACCTAAGTATAAACCAGTGTAAACAAAGATTTTCCTAGCAGCGATTTTTTCAACAGTTTTCCTCACCTCATGCTGCTGTCAGCAGGTAAGTGCAATGTAATACAAATGTAATGCAAAAAAGTACCAGTGGCTATCAAAACACCTATAATAGAGTTCCCATTATCATTATTTATTATCAGTAGATAAACCAGAGCTAAGCAAAGTCACCTTCAAAAAAACGTATAGGAGAAGGCCTGAGCTAACTGCCTCTGCAGAGACCTTCCTTTGGACACATACTCAATGCAGAAAGTGTCATTACTGGTACGATATGCTTAACTATTATGCCTCACATCGCTCTAGAATATGCCACTAAAATACAGGAATTATCTAAAGGGAGTTCTGTTAAGAAACAGATGAGAGTGCCTAAAGACAGAGATACTGAGTTTGCTTTTTTAAACCAACATGGTTTAGATTCATCTTAACAGGAAGCAGTGAACCAGCTTCACTTCTGCCAAAACAGTCATGCACTGCATATTGCTTTCATTCCTGAAAACTGCAGTAGCAAGCAGCAGGTGCACTATGTTGCCCGCATCCACGCTCTGAGACGATGCAGCAGATTCAGCTCAATCCTCCCAGAGAGCAAAAGAACAGTACATAATCTCCATCAAGAAAACAAAAGAGGAAAAAACAAACAAACAAAAAAATCACAAATTTGCCTGAACACAATTTATTTGCAGTGCAAATCTGCACTAGAATCCACTGGGGACATAACCTTGTCTTGTGGTGACATATGACTGATATCTACTTTGCTCCATTAATTTGAATCCCAGCATCTATCAGAACACATTTTAATTGTTTTCTAAGACCAGCTGTGTTGTATCACACAGTGTGATCCTGCAACAGCCTGGCTGAGACATAATATAAAAGGTGAATGTATCTCTCATAAAAACGCTCTGAAGGCTCACTTTGTGCCCAATATAACACTGAATTTTGAGGGCTGCCTCAAGAAGTGATTATCTGGAAGGGCATCTTCTTGCCATCAAGACTGTTGGCAAGTTGGGCATATACATGACCACCTCCTGGAAATAAAGACAGAGAAGTGATGATTACATCTCAGAACAAACTTCTGCACAAAGAAAAGAAATAGTGTTACGTTTAGAAAGGGTAGGATGTTAGGATTGCCTGTGACTGCCATACAGATTGCCTAGCAAGAGCAGTTATAGTGGCAAGTTTTGAACTTGAACTTCAGAAGTTTGGTTTTTTTTTTTGTTCAGTTTGAGAAATTCCAGTTTTAACAGCTTTTTCCTTTGGAGCACTGAACACCACCAGCAGTCATTCCTACTTATGCACTGCACGGCATTTTACTCCCTTCCTGTTCTGGCACCTAAACTGCAGCTACCACTGATGTAATACTGCACAGGTTCCATGCCAGCTCTTCTTCCCTTCTTTCTCTGTTGACCAAGCATATTCCAGTTCTCTAATTTCAGCCTATCTTCTTACAAGAAAGCAAAGAATCTGACAGAAACTATAAAAAACCCAAGCACACTGACCAGCAAACAAATAAAAGCAGCATGTGTTAACCCTGCAAGAACAAATAAGGTCTTCCACAACCTCTCACTGTACAGCCCTGACCTTCCTCTCCCCCATTATATTTTTCAATACTTGCCCCATTACTGTAGCTCTATGCTCTTCCAATTCCTACAAAGTTTTCCCCAGCTACTGAGAAACTAACACCATCTGTACTTAGAAAGTCCAATACACAGCTCTGCTTGCAGTCAGCATCCCAGTTGTGCATGAGAAAATGTGCAATCGTGCTGATAACCTGAACCGCATGCACTCCATCTCATAAAAAGCAACAACCAAACAAACAAAACCCCACAAAACCCCAAAACAATTCACAGAGTCAAGAAAAGGGAGTAAGAAATCTCTAAGGCTGCTCCTTCCGTACTGCAATTCATATGAAGGGTAGGGACAATAACTTAGAGCTTGCATCCTTCATTTAACCCCATACCCTTACTCCATCAGTATCTTCATTCCACAACCTGCATCTTCCACCCTTACACATACATTCCCCTCTTCCAAGTCCTCCTTCCTTATCGTAGCTTGAATTCCTCTTCCTCAGTCTTCTGTCTGAACTCATCTCTCCTCAACAACAGCTCCAAAACACTGTTTACTAACAACACTTGTGTAACTTTCCAGATTTCCACATTTTGTACCCTCAAACTTCTAGAGAGGGGTGCTTAAGTCATATAAATCTGAAAACTTTCATAAAACTGTACCCAATCATGCTGACCCAACATATCTGGTGTCTGCTTTGTTTTGATGACACTTAGTTCCACTGTTTGGAAAACATCATCATAATCCCAGTTTTTATCTTTCTCTAATTAATGCTAATTTTGTAAACTGTACTTCTAAAATGTAAAATTAACTGTATTTGCATTTTATGCTTTGTAACATCACTTTTGAAGATGAAGTAGTATCGGTCAAACACCTTTTAGTGGACAAAAACTTCCATGGAAAAAATGTACACAATATACACTCTAATAATTAATTACGCTGGGCTTTACCATATGCAAGAAAATGCACAATGCAGGTTAAAGAGCTATATTTAATTGTCTCAAGATCCCTTTTACTGTGAATGCTGCTTCCTAGAGAAAGATTTTCCTTAAATGAATATTCTTGCAAATAAACATAAAAACTAATTGGCTCAGCAGTTCAGCACTAGATAACTTGCTAAAGCCTGATTTCTCAGATTAGTAATTTTCTTCTCTGAAATTAGAATAAGCAAGAAAAACATCAAGAATCTGAAACACTTTGTGAAGAGGATTACTGTAACTTCAGCCATAAAGGTGCAAAATAACACTGGGAGAACTGGGAGAATAGTGTTTGTCAAAAATAATGCTTGTGTGAAGCGGGGGGGTGGGGGAGTGGCTTTTTTTTTTTTTCTCATAAAAGGGGAGCATGAGGCTTCCAGTCAAAAATTCCCAGTTATAAATTTCTCCAAGTCTGAACCACCAACACATTTGGCACTGAAAGTTTTAGAGAGCCGGCACAGGTTCACAGCCTGTCATGGATACTGTGAAATGACAGAGTAAGTGATGGTGAAGTCAGTTTAAGAAAGTTCTGCTCCTGCATCCCACTTTGTCATCCCCTCAGTTGTGAATGCAACTGTCTACCAAACCACAACACAAAATTGCATGCATCAAAAAAAAAAAAAACCTTTTAAAAATTACTTATTTTCAATCGTGGGTCTTAGTAGCAATGTAATTTCAGGGCTACCCCACAGACAACCTATAAGATTGAGATAATGGTGAAATAGAGCCTAAAAACAAACAGCCAGAGGCAAGCTCCTCAGCCTGGCTTAACTGTCAAACACATTATCTTCCCATACCTTCAGGACAGCTCACCTTTAAGGAACAAATAGCACCAATAACTGAATTGGAACTCCACTACAGTCACCTGTGATTGATTCTATGGCTACAGCTCCGAAGAAATCCGGCAGGAACCAATACTGCCATTAGAGAAGACAATCCGTTCTCTCATAGGGTCCCATCAAGCAACAAATCTTAGCAGACAATGTATTTGTGTTAGACTGACTTTCAGTCGCATTGTTCCCTCAAATCAGCTCACCCTGATACCTGATCACCTACTTCACAAATACAATGAGAGCACAAGGGAGGGGGCAGAATATACTGCACAGCATGAAGAAAAAGTGTGTCCCCCCTTCTTTTAAACTGTACACATGCTGGGTTGAGTGACCATAGCTTCAAACATCCCAGTATTGAAATCTCTTCTTTCAACGCAATGCAAACCAACAGTGAACCCATTGCACATCACAGTTGTTAGCAGACAAGACAATCACTGCACCATGGAGTAACAAAAGGAAACCTAAATGAGCTAACACCACTCGCTCAAAAAAGTACAGCAATACACTTTGATTTAGTACGGAGGTGTCCGCACCCAAGATGGAATCACTTCAGATGCCAAACCAGAGTTTCACAAGCCCAAATCAGATTTTGCCAGGGCTGAGCGAGCAGACTGGAACACCTTGTGCACAGCTCCAACTACAAAGCAGCTGCTACCAAAGAATACCTAAGATATCAATCTGTAACAGTCTCCTTTGTATACCCGTGACAGCTGAAAAAACTCAAAGTACTCATTCAACATCCTTTTAAAAAAGTTATCGCCCCATGAATGTTTATACAGTAACACAAACCGATGTTAAATGGAGGAAAGTGACTAGCTACATCCTTTGCATTGGCAAACGATAGCATCATCTCTGAGCCTTATCTAAAATGGCTCTAGCCGATAAGAGACGGCAAATGTAACGGGGATTAAAGAAAACAAAACATTATCTGAAACGGTAATCGATTCTTTTCCCCCAGTTTGTGTTTCTAAGGAACAGGGAACAGATCCCCCTTCTCCCCCCTTCACAGAGACAGCCCGGGCCCGGTGCAATTCCGCAAGGACCCCGCAGAGCCAAGCCCGGGGCCCTGGCCCCGCTGCTCCCGGCTCCCGCCGCTCTGCTAGCGGCGACACGGGCTGACCCCAGGGCACGGCAGGGATCGGTGCGGGAGAGACAGCCCCCCAAGCGGCGGGGGGCGGGGGCCGCGGAGGCGGCGGGAGCCCCCCTACGGCGTGACAGTCCCCGAGGGAGGGGGCAAGCCCCGCACCGAGACCCCTCAGCGCACGGCAGTAGTTACCCGGCTGCTGCTGCCGTCTCCGTGCTCGCTTCCCCGGCGGCCCCGGGTCCCCCCGGGCCCTGGTGTTCCCGGCGGCGATGGCAACCTTCTGCTGCGGTGCGGCGACGGAGATCGGCGGGAAGCCCCGCGGTGGCCCGACGGGGAGCGGTGGCGGCGCGGCGGAGGACGGGGCGAAGCGGAGCGTGGCGGCGAGACGGAGGAGGCGGAGGCGGCAGCGGCGGCGGGTGGCGGCGGGGGAGGCCGGCCGCGGCCTGGTCCCGGCCCCGATGTGCCAGAGCGGGAAGCGCGGGACCCCGACGAGCTACAGTCTTTCAGCCGGTGAGAAGAAGACGAGGATGAGGGGCCGGAGCGGCCGCTGCCGGAGCGGTACATGATGGCGCCGGGGGTCCCGGCGGCCCGCGCGATCGCCCCAGCTCCTCTGACCCGGCCCCCCCCCCCCCCCCCGTAACCCCGACTGACCCCCCCCCCACCCCCCGCGCGTGCGCGCCGCCGGCCGCCCTGCGCGCGCTCCCGAGGCAGACACCGGAGGGGGGGGGCCCGGGGGGGAGGCGGGGTAAGCCCGGGCCGCGGAGGGGGCGGGGGATGGGAGGTGTTGCCTGGGGACGCCTGCACAAAATGGCAGCCGCCGAGGGCCGGTCACGTGTGGCGGGGCGGGCTGCGGGCCGGCGGGAGGCGGGAGCTCGGGAGGGCGCCGCTCCTTCCCTGCCCGCTCCTTCCCTGCCCGCTCCTTCCCTGCCCGCTCCTTCCCTGCCCGCTCCTGTGCCTCGGTGGCCGTGAGGGGGTCACGCTTCCCCGCCCTCCGGCGGCTGCGTCGTCCTGCTTGACTGTCCTGCGGGGCTTCCCCCCGCCTCGCTTCTCTTTGGGTTTCCCGGCTGATGGAGCTACACCGGGGAGCTGTGGGGAGACGCTGAGGGGTGGACCTTTGTCGGACCTTGCCACATGGCGGTGATAGTCCTCCGGGTTAAGGCAGCAGTAAAAGGGCATTGGTGGTGGTTTTAATTCTGCTTGCACTGTGCTGTGGAACTTGGCATGGGTGGTGGCCTTAGGCAGAAGCGTGTTAGTGATGAATCCTTGGCCGCTTGATGAGGCGGCGCTGAGCCTGAGCTTCCAGCGCATACAGTTTCCGAACAGGTTTCCTTGACGTGACTGCCGTGAGCTGGGGTGATGTGATGGGGAGGAATGGATTCCTGCCTCCTCCCTCTCCTCACCTGAGCACTGGCTACCCGCCCTACACAGTGCAGGCAGCTGAGTCCAGCAGTTTCAGTTCTCACAAGTGAAGCACGAAATGCTTCTCTTACTTCATGCTGAGGCTGGTGAGGAGGAAGAGTGTCTTAACTGAAATGGGCTAGCAATAGAAAGTAATGAGTGCAAAGGTTCTGAAAAAAATTCTCCTATTTCCTGAATTTCTGAGCCTTTATATTCAGAAACTGGGCAGAGTTTGTACTGAGGGTTTGAATTTGGAGACCCACTCAAGTTTTGCAGTGTTGGATGAAATATTGCCTGTGTTCTGTAATCGCTAGAACAACACACCCTTAGAAGCATACTACTTAGAGCAGCAGCAACCAGGAGCAGGCTGGTGGGTCAGGGTCTGTGATACTGTAACAAGGTATTTCTGCTGGGAGGCGTTGTGTACAATTGAATTAAATCCATCTGCCCCACTTTGACATTTCCTGTGTGAGTGCACCACTACACAGGGTCAGGAAATACACTTGGTTATGCCAGTGATCAATGCTATATAAAAAATACCTATTTTCAGTTACTACTGTCCACTCCTTCCCCTTCTCTGCTATGGCTGATAATGTTCATCTGTGACCTCAATTCAGTTAGTATCCTGGGATACGAATGTCATCTTTGAAGAGCCCCAGCAGACTGCCGATCTCCTTCTAGTGGGAGCAAAGCACAATGATGGTGAAGGCAATGGGTACTCAACCTGTTCCGGCTACCTACCCAAAGCGTCAGATTTGGTGACACATGGTGAGGTACAGAGCTGTGCTTTATGGTAACTACAACTCTGATGTGCACCTAGGAATTTCCCCTCTAGTTTTGTATTGTACATCACATCCAAATAGTTTATCACTACATGGAATATGCTGTTATCCTGAATTTGTTGGAGGAAAATACTTGACTGACTCGTGCTCATTACCATTTTGTAGCACCCTGTCATCTTACTGAGCATTACTCTACAATTAGAATTTATAAACTCATTCTGTACTAGCTGCAGTGTCATGTTTCAATCACATGCTTTACTGAGTTAAGGTTTTAAAGGGACGGAGCACCCATAGTGAGATTCAGTTAAATTACTCCACAAATCAGTGCTGAAATCTGCGCCTCTGCCTTGCAGAGGTTTTTGCAGTACTCCTGTGACTGGCACTCCAGACTCTCACTGGATAAAGGAGGTGCCAGTCAGTCTGCTCTGCTACAAGTTCCAGCTCCCAGACTCCTCTTTGGAATTCCAAAACTCATCTTTGAACTTGCAATTGGCTGCTGCTTGGAGAGATTTTTTTTTTAGCTGATTGTGTGCTGGGGGCAGTGTTGGGGTAATACTGTGTCTCTGAGTTCTCATTAGCCCTCAGATAAGAAAGTCGGGGGAGCAAACAATACTGAGAAGGAAAAGAAAATCAGAAAAGTTAGCAGTAGCTCAGTATGAACAAGTAAGCAGAAATCAGAATAGATGTTAAGTCAGACTGGACCATTGGGTTAAAAAGCAGTGCAGTAATGGAGGAAAACCTAAGACCTTGGTTATAACTTTTTTACCTTTTTATGACTGACTAGATTCAGGGACATGAGACAACTGTGCAGCACTCCCTTGAATGTTAAATGGCTTGGCTGCTCATAATAACAGAAACAATTTTTGTGGTTTTGTGACAAAATGAGTGTTCTCATGAGACTGTGCAGTGGAAGACACCCCTTTTGCCTCCTGAGCTTTGCATTAATTTATCCCCTGGAAAACAGGGCAAGATACGCATGTGGTTCAGGTTCAGGCAGAGCAGCCTGTTCATGAAAAGTCTTGGACTGAGCCAACTAATCAAACCTTCCCTGGTCATGACATAATGGAACTTGAGGATGGTTCAGCTGATAGCAGAGCCCTGCCTGGGAGCACAGAAAATGCATCCAAACAGACAACTGCTTTCAGAGATTCTGCATCAATTGATGCAAAATAACCACAGTTGATAGTTCTGAACTTAAGGCTTGTCTAGGCTGGCTTCTGTTTCAGCTCAATATTTACTTATAGCTAGGAAGTGAACTGGGCATGCAGCCTGCTCTCATTCCCTGATTCTGAGTCCTGGGAGGCGTATTAAGTCATCTGTTACAAAATAGACTCATAAGAGAAGGCAGATAGCTCTTCCCCACTGGGGGCATACCAATCCAGAGAATTAAAAAACTCTGGATAATAGCGAATAAAATCTGGCCTGCATTGGCCTGTGGGGTGGATTAAATTAAACCTGTTACTATTTTTTTTTCCCTTTCATTTTGATTGCTCTGATTTTTTATAAATGTCAAGTGTCTGATTATTTATAGTGTGCAAGGTACTTTGTAAGCCATATACCCACAAGCCTGTACTCCCCATGGCGCGCATCTTAAACCAGTCAAATACATAGCAGTAAATGTCACAGGCAGCAATATTCAGAAGAAAGGAAAGCCAAAAGGAAGCACTACAAGGAGGAATGTTTCTTTAGATTCTTGCCATGTTCCTGTCTAAATGCACATACACTGAACAAGCACCAGTGATACCAGATAGGGCAGCGTGGATTGGTGTTCTCCTCGGGTGCCTTTTTTTTTAATAACCTTTATGTTTGTTTTCCCATCTGAGTATAGATAATGCTGTCTGGAGCAAACTGGGATCTGTGGCCTCTGAAAGCTATCCGTCTTTCAGCTGAAGTGGAAAAGTTCATGCTTTTCAACATAAAGAGTTTAGGAGAGATGAGCAGGCAGAATGCAGTATGTGGAAAACACTAGAACAGAATGTGGCTGAAATGGAAAAGCTCTGAGAGTGATCAGCTTAATAGAGAGAAGGATGGTCTTTGTCCTGATACCGAGAACTTCTCTCAGTCAGGGGAAGTGGGTGTTTGCTTGGGGTTTGTTAGTTTGTTTTGGTGGGGTTTTTTGTTTGGGTTTTCTTCATTTGGAAATAAGACATCAGAACCTTGAAACTTTAAGTTTCACTTGTGTGCAGCTCATCCTTCAGTCTCATACATCCCCTCTTTGCTCTCTTGAGAGTTTGCTGCTTTCACACCATTTTGTTAAAGTGAAGCTTCCTTGAGCAGAGAAGACATAAAACTTAGTGTCAAAGCATCTACAGGAGAGTTCATTCTAGAAACCTTTGGACAACTTGTGGCAGACAGAGCAGACTGCCAAAGGCACAGAGTATCTATAGCAGTATCTAGCTTTGTCATGAAAAGGCAGTCTCGCAACCTTGACATGCAGGCCAAGATTACTTTCAGGGTTGTGAGAAATCAGAATGCTCAGAGAAAGCAATTAAACAAGGACATGTATATATGTGTATGGTTTTAGGAGAACTCCACTGTCCTACTCCCTTCAAGGAAACTGTAATCCGAGGGTACTGTGGCCTACAAGCTCTTGCTCGTATCTCTGCTGCTTCAGACTCCCTCAGCCAGATTGTTCTGTTTTCTCAGACAGGAACGTTACTGATACTCTCCTTCCTCAGCACCCCACTGATAATACTGTTCAGAGAAGTCTTTATTGTGTCTCTGATGCTGAAAATAGTTTTCTACCTGTGATGAATTATTCACCCTGATATGAGAGAGAACTGAGGGAGGGCTTGGGGGAACTGAAGTGTTCCCTGCATCTGCTATAAAAATCACCAGCAGCAGGTGAAATTGCTGGGTGGGTGTGGTGACGTTTACCGCACACTCCTGTTCCTGCCTGTCAGGGATGAGGCTTTATGTCCTGTCCTTTTCTGACATCTGGGAAGCTGATCATTTACTCACTCCCCAATGCAACATGCACAGTTTGTGTTACTCAGATGATTGTTTTAGGCTAAGATAATGATCTGGCTTTTTACAACTGTTACCTGCTGTGCTGAGAGAGTGTTGCTGCTTTGGGCATACTCATCCATTGCTGACAAAGTGCTCTTGCACTGTATCATTTGCTATAAGCAAAAAACACTGTCCCAGCAGTGTTTATAGCACGTTTATATCCATGGAAGTAGTGCCTGGGCTGTCCCTGCTAGTGCTGGCTTCTGGACACACAGCAGTGCGTAGATATCCTTGTGCTCATCGACACAGTGACACTGCAAGTATGTAACAAGTGTCGGTATAGAAAAGTCCAGGGTACCAGGCGCTGTGGGGCAGATGTGATAGCAGGAGGGGCAGTAAATAAGAGCGCAAGGAAGGGACCAGAGGACTTTTGGGGAAAACCGTGTTTATTCATGACCGGGGACTGATTTGAGTCTGTTTTTAACTAGAAGATAAAGGTCTGAACTACGTGCGCGTGTTTGACGTGTTTCCCTCTACCCCTCCTCTCGACCTCATGCTTTTGACCTGAATTTTTGACGCTCCCTGTGTTCGCCAACTACCCGCCGGCGGCACGGCGCGTTACAGGCTGCTGAGCTGGAGCTGCTTGGGAATAGATGGCAACCGCTCCCAGGCGCCGCCGGCACCTTGACCGCCGCCTAAGGCCGGGCCTCGGGCCGGGGCTGCCGCTCCCACCTCCGAGCTGCCTCGGGCTCCGCCCGCCCGGTTTGAGCCGCGCCCCCACTTCGTTGCCTACCGCCGGCTACGAGGCCCGGGCGCTGCGGCCCCGCTGCCAGGGCTGCGGCGCGTCCTCCCGGCCCACAGGGGGCGCACGGGGCGGCACTGCGCCTTCCCCTTCCACTGCGGTGAGCGCGGAGGTGGGGGGCGGGACCCACCGAGGTACGGCGGGGGGCAGGGGTCAAAGTTCGGCGTGCGGGGGTAACTGTGGTATTGCACCCTGGTGGGGCGGGCTGGGGGTCCCGGGGTTCCCGTGCCGGGCTTGTGTCCTTCAGCCGGCCCCGGGCTGGGGACGGGCTCAGCCGGCGCGAACGGCAGCCGGCGTAAAGCCGAGGCCCTCCCGGGTGTGCTTCAGCCCCGGGGGGCAGCACCGAGGAGAGAGCTCTGAGGGTGTCCCTCCCTGGGTAGCCTGAAGGTATTGCGTGGTCTTCTGGTTGGGCATCAGCATCCCCCAGAGCGACTTGGAGGGTGGTTAATACTACACGCTCTCTTTGAAGATGTAAATATAATGGATAGGTCGCAGCTCAAAATAATTTTCAAAGTGAGCAATAAAAAGGCAAATGCTTCCTGATGTTAGTTTCCAAAGGGTAAACAGGCCATGGGGGAAAAAAAATCAGCCTGGAAACAAGCAGAAAGCATCAAATTCCCAGAGCACTGGGGTCCCAGGGTGACTTAAAACCATAATTTAGTTTAAGATGGAGCTTGATCGTTTTGTGGAGTAGATGTTAAGACAGCAAGTGCACTGCAGCAGGGCCTGGGCTGTGTGACCCAGGAAGTTGTTTCTATCCCTGTGTTCGTTTCTTATCACAGTCCACCTCGGACTGGGGCTGTACCTCATGCTGTTCTTTCTTTTCTACCCTAGGGGATCCTGTCTCTCAGACTGAATTCTCAGCAAAGGATGGAGAACATCCTGGCTGATTTGTGTGGAACCAGCCCAGAGGACCCACTCCCTGTTTGGGATCATGGCAGCATTGGCCATTGCTTTAATCAGCTGACATTAAATGTGATTCCTCATGTGGTCCTTGCAGTGGTCAGTGCCTGCTTCCTTGGCACTCCAAGGTATGACAACTAATTTGTCTGATGCTTGGTTATTATGTAGGACTGGAGGTGAGGCTAGAAATTAGCTCTCCTTAATAATGTATGTGCTTAATACATAATTAGAGAAGAGCACAATATTATAAAGTTACTATGTTTGTCAGCATCCGTTCTAATTCAGAGTGTGTTGTACAACTCTAGTCCCTTCAGAAAGGAATCCAGAAAGACCAAATTAGGTAGTGAGCATAAAATCACTATAGTGATTATAGTGAGAAAACATTTCAAAAGAATTTCAGTAAATGGAGATTGGGAAAACTGAGAGTCTTCTGGGAGAGAATATAAATCCAAGGTGGCATGGAAAATGTAAATAAAGTAATAAGGGGTTGAGAGAAAACAAAAATTGTTTTTCTGTTTACCCTCTTCTGAAATTCATAAACATGGCAATGTTCAAAGGATAATAAAGCAAGTGATAATGAAATATTTTGTTGGGCTATAAATTATGGCCTTTACATACGCAGCATCACCGAAACCAACAGTGATAGAAATAATGCTTCTAGACAGAATATCACAAACACGAGAGAACTCAAGGACCACAGATGAGACACAGAGAATGTTATCATCTGTAATTGGTGCTAAAGAAGTTAAATATAACTTTGTTGTTAGTCCTCAAGGTCTGCAGTCTGATTTGCCCATGAAATACCACAGTTTGCAAACAAATTTATGCAGAGAAATGCTATTCTTTGATAGCACCTGAATCTCTGGTATTGATCAGATACTGGGCAATATTGATCTGATGTAGTTGAGCAATGCCAACATTCTGAAAAAGCTACAAATTGAGGGAGGTGAATCCATGAGTGAATGGATAAAGAGGGTAAAAGGAGAAGAAGAAAGGAGAGTACTGACTGAGAGGTGATGGAATTTCAACTGTAAATTTTTTCTCTGTTCTTTCCTCCTTAAGAATCAGCTCCCGAGTGCCTTGCAGGCCAGGGTGGGGATGCAGAATCACCGCATCCTTAGTACTTGCTGGCCTGTTCCTTGTTGATACCATCCCAGCCACCATTTCTCAGCAGGAGCTGGGCCCTGTGTACCTGGAAGTGCTTGCCAATGGCACTGCTGCCCTGACATGGCTCACACACAGCTTTGTTCTTCTCACGCTCTGCAAGTCCGTTCACAGTTTTACCAGAGGCCCTGTGGTCCTGATGCTCCTCACTCTTTTGCCCATACCTTCGTTCATCATCACGCTGGTGTGGTACTACCAAAGCGGGACAGCTTGGTCACCTGCCCACCCTACTGCCTCCTTCAGGTTTGCCATTCTCTGCCTTCAGCTGGCCTCTCTGCTTGTGTATGTGATAGCCTGCCTCTTTCCCACTGCTGGCAGGCAAGACTTCCTCTCCATCAATAGCTCCTGGCAACAAGACCAGCTCATCTCAGAGCCAGGGATCCCAGTGCCTGATCAGCAGAGAGTGTCAGAAGATGGTGAGAGCTGGCTCTCACGCTTCTTTTATATTTGGATGAACCCTCTTATGAAATGTGGCTATCAGTGGAAGCTGAACCAACCACAGGATGTCTATGTACTTCCTCACCAGCTGGAGGCTGCCAGGGTCTGTGAGCGGTTCTACTCTTGTTGGCAGAAGAAGGCAGCTCTGCACCAAGTAGAGGAGGAGACGGTGTCTCTTACTAGCTCAATCATTGCTGGAGGCAATGGGAATAGCGACGCCCCAGACAGCTTGCACCATGGCCAGGAGGCCGTGCAACTCTTCTCAGTCCTTCATGCAGCTTTTGGGCTTCGTTTCTACTCCCTTGGACTTCTTAAGCTGGCTGGCAACCTGCTGGGTTTCTCAGGTCCTCTGCTTCTGAACCTGCTGGTGAACTTCATGGAGTCACAGCAGGAGCCCCTGAGCCATGGGGTGCTCTATGCTCTCGGGCTCTTTGCTGGCTCCTTCCTGGGTGCTCTTTTGCGGAACCAGTTCAGCTATGAGGTGAACAAGGTGACACTGATGGTGCGGGCTGCTGTCATCTCTGCCATCTACCACAAGGCTCTGCGTGTCAGCAGTGCCAGTATTATGCGCTTCACAGTAGGGGAAATTGTCAACTTCATGAGCACGGACACCAGCAGGTTGGTCAACTTCTGCCTCAGCTTGCACGAGGTGTGGAGCCTGCCTTTCCAGTTTGCCATTACCCTCTACCTCCTCTACCAGCAAGTGGGAGTAGCTTTTCTGGGAGGCTTGGCCCTGGCACTGCTGCTTGTGCCCATAAACAAGCTCATAGCTAACTACATTGTGATGAACAACAAGGAGATGCTGAAACACAAGGATGCACGGGTCAAGGTGAGGCCGAGCTGGTGGCATTAATTCTTTCAGGATTTTCTCTCTGAGTTTGTTGCTGTGTTTGATCCCCATTTGTCCCTAGAACATTGGCTTTTTGGCTGCTTGTGATGATCCAAAGCTGTTGGGAAAAATGCTAGAGGGAGCACACACACAGAGACACTTGGTTCAAAAGTATTTCAGGGTGATGCAGTTTCACCACCCACAAGATAGTGAATCTCTAATGCTTGTCTTGTTCCCTGGGCTAATGCAAGTTCCCTTGCAGGTTTCTTTTCTGCATGTAGTACTTAAGGTGGGACTCCTGATTGCTTCTTCTAGAGATGCTTCCATCTAGGATTGCTCCAGTAATGCCATCAGTGGTGAGGTGGCTTGCAGTCTGGACAAAGGCAATGATCATGGATGTAGTGGTTTTATATTGCTCCAAGCTTAGCACCCTCAGTCATCTTTTCCACTGATTCTTGCATATTTGCTGTGCCATGTCTTTGCCACATCAAACATTAGATTCCCACCTTTTAACCTTGTATTTCAAATGCAACGGACAGCACTTTCACTCACCATTTCCATCATGCTTTGGAAGAATTAAGTGTAAGTCAATTCCACGTTAGAACTGTTGTGAGCTGTAAACTTATTTCTTTTCCCAACACAAGGTGCATCAAGTTGTAATGGGTAAGCTGGACTTTCTTCAGCTATGCAGGAGAGTTTTGCTGAGTGAAGTCTGCCTTGTTAGTTTAGTTTTGTGTTGAGTACAGACACATCTCAGCTTGCTCTGCACAAGCTGGCCTGAGAGCAGGGATTAGAGGACAGTATGTTAATGGGACACCTGAGCTGCAGGATGTGCTGCAGGCAGCCTCTGGATACAGGCTAGCTCTGCCAGGGCAGCACCAGCCTGAGGGTCGGGTGTTATTATCTCAAGGTGCTGTCAGGTCAATGGAGGTAAATGGCATCCAGGCTGGAGATAGTAATTCCACATATGCTTTCACCTGTGTTGCACATCCTTCAGTTGTGCAGTAGGGTAATATTTTGCCTTTTCCTGAGCCATACATGGCACAGGTGGTTGAGGAAGCTGGTGGAAAGAGTAAGAGTGAAGTTCCCAGTAGCTGCTGCTTGAGTTTATGTCTCTGATAGCAGTGAATGGTTCCTGGTATCTCTAGCCTGGCCCTTAACAGGAGGCAACTGCAAACCTGGCCCCTGCCCAGATGCCTAGCTAACATTTGGTGTGTTAGGCAAGCACTGGTTGTTCTATGTGATTTTCCTCTTTGCCTGCAGCTAATGACAGAGTTCCTATGTGGCATTCGTGTGATCAAGTTTTATGCCTGGGAGAAGCACTTCAGCACCAGGATAAATGCCTGCCGGGATGAGGAGCTGCAGAAGCTACGAGCCATCAAGTACTTGGATGCTGTGTGCGTGTATCTGTGGGCAGCACTGCCTGTTGTAGTCTCCATTACCATTTTCATCACCTATGTCCTCTTGGGTCACCAGCTCACTGCCACAAAGGTGAGTAGTTAGTAGGGAGAGCTCCAGCTTGTCTCATACAGAGGACAGTCTACACTGGGGCTGCAGTCTCTGGGAAATAAACCCACCTGTGTCACCCCACGGCTCTTCAGGCTCTCACTGATGAAGCTATTTGGAGAATACAAGAGGCGAGGGAGGTCCTGCCTCCAGCTCATGGCTGTTTCCTTCCCCATGCAGGTGTTCACAGCATTGGCCCTTGTTGGGATGCTTATTCTGCCCCTCAACAGCTTCCCGTGGGTGTTGAATGGGACCTTGGAAGCTAAAGTTTCCTTGGATCGAATCCAGTGTTTCCTTGAACTTGTGGACCAAGACCTGGAAGCTTATTATGCCCTAGGTAATGTCAGAGAACGCTGCTGGGCTTGACACCCTGGGCAGGGGACACTTGGAACAGAGAGCTGAGGTGTGAGGCCAGGGGCAGTACTGGAGGGTAGCTGACTGTCATCCCCATCATTAAAGACGTTCAGTTGTCAGGTTCAGAGTGAAGGCACTTCATGTCTATGGAAAATGGGAGACAAGGCTGTAGCATTCCTCTTTACCAATAGTAGGCCATTGCTTGTCCTCACAAAACCTTGTTGTTAGTGTCCATTTAGAAGAAGCTACTCCCTACTCTGTCCAAAGCTCTTCTGAAAATGAAACCACCAACAACCTTGGCTTTGCCTGGCAGAAAGGGTTGCATGCATGCCCCTCTCCTGAGCCATTCCTGCTCCTTTTTTCTCCTTCCTTGCCTTTTGCCAGCTCCCTGCCATTCTTTTACCTTCAACAAGTTATGCTTACTGTGTCTCCATGACAGCCAACAGGTCACCATGTGTGTCTGTTGCGAGCTGGAAACAGGAGGGTTGGTGGAAGGGAGGTATAAGTTTAAGGGCAGGTTAGCAGGCAAGATCCCATTCTGTGCTTGGGTCAAGGGCATCATGGCAGTGCCTTGTCTGTGGCCTCATCCATTTGGGACAAAGCTGATAGTATCTCTGACACCAGGTGCGTTTAATTTTCTGGTCTTCTCATAGTAGTGCAATGCTATGCTGCTTTTCTCTTGCAGATAGCCCTTCAGGGACTGCTGTTGCCATGGAGATGCAATGTGCATCCTTCTCATGGGTGCCAGTTGAGGAGGAAGGCACCACGCAGCCCTTATCCACAGGCAGTCTGCAACTGCACATTGAGAACCTGTCGGTGAGAAAGGTGAGCAAGACTACAGGAGGTAACAGAGAAGAATGGCACTAGAGAATGGAGGAGAGGGAGCATGTTTTCATGTTCTCCTGGTCTTACGAGCTGTGCATCAAAATTTTCTCTTGGTCAAGGGGCACATTATCACAGCTCTCAGAGCTGAAGGGTACTGGAGGAGATTCAGGCATGGCTTACAGACAAGAGATAAACCAATTCCCTCTGCTTTCTGCCACTGCCGAAGGAGAGGACTGGGCAGGGAGCACAGCTGGGCTCCAGAGTTAACGCTCCTTGCAGACTTGTGTCCTGCTATATCAGGAGTCAGGTTTACCCAACAACTTCACCCAGCTCTGCTGCTGAACCTGTGAGATAATCCTAGTTTGTAACAGCAGTCAGATTTCTTACAGTGGCTCAAGAAATCTGGACAAGTCATTCTGTATTAGCACATCACACTGCTCTTTTTCATTTCCCTTTGCAGGGGATGCTTCTGGGGGTTATTGGGAAGGTTGGCTCCGGGAAAAGCTCTCTGCTTGCAGCCATCGCTGGAGAGCTCATTAAGTAAGTACCCTAAAGACTTCTCCCTGATTGGTCTCTCCATGCCACAGCAGGCAGGCACTATCCAGTGTCATCCTTATTCGTAGGCCATTTTGGTCTGCCAACAGTTCTTCTTTGTTGCCCTTTCTACCTACTTCTGCTGCACTTGCAGACAAGGTGGACGAGTGTATGTTAGTGACCTGGAGCAAGGATTTGGTTTGGCCACACAAGAGCCTTGGATACAGTTTACCACTGTCCAAGAGAACATCCTTTTTGGGCGGGAATATGATGCAACGCTGTATGAGGAGGTGGTGGAAGCCTGTGCCCTTTCTGAGGACCTGAACGTGAGTAGATGACAGCTGGGTTTTTCAGGCAGAGCCTGTCAGCAGCTGATGCTTTTTTGGATAAGAAGGAACTTCCCTGGGATCTGGAAGGGCTGAGTCTGTGGTGCTCCTTTCAATAATTCACTGAATTTGAGCCTTATGGCTATATTAGCCAGCAAACCTGGCTGTTACAGGATAGGAAGCTAGTCTTCTCTTCCCAGTTTATAACCTGATGACTGATTTTCGGATGTGACAAGCATTGGGAGCAACTGTTTGCTTTAGTGGGAGCTATGAATACTCTGTAAAGGCAAGATACTTACTTGAGTTTTATATTTATTTGTTTATTTCAGAGTTATCTTGGACTAGAAGTCGCTCTCAGTAGGTAGTTCAGATGTGGCCACCGTATTGTGGAGTGTAAGAGAGTTTAGTTGCATAAATGCCAAGCTTGCCTATTGTCTGCAGAACCAGTGTATAGACTCTTGCATTGTTTAATTTTTGGTAAGGTGTCACCCTAAGGAATTACTGCCAGAGGTATGGGAGGTACCTCACTGTTCTGGCTCTGGGTCCCCAGTAGTTTCCTGTCCCTTCTAAATGGATTTTCTTGAATGTTTTAGATTTTACCAGCAGGTGACCAGACAGAGGTGGGTGAAAATGGTGTGACACTCAGTGGGGGACAGAAAGCTCGAATAGCCCTTGCCAGAGCCGTTTACCAGGTAAATAGCAAAGGAGTCATGCTAGGGCAGATTGTGCCCAGTGCTAACTCAGATGTAAAGAAGCTGAAGTACTCAGCTGTACAGTGTGCTCTGGCAGCATGTCTTAAACCACATCGTGCTGGCCTAATGTGCTGGTGGTTCACCACACAGCAGCACTTGCACTTTTCATTACAGCAGGGCCTGCAGCTGTATCCTTGTCTTTTGTCTCCCTCTCAGGACAAAGAGTTTTACCTCCTTGATGATCCCCTGGCTGCTGTTGATGCAGAGGTAGCCAACCATCTTATGCAGAAATGCATTCTTGGAGTTCTCAAACACAAGACCAGGATCCTTTGCACCCACAGAACGGAATTTCTGGAGAAGGCTGATGCCTTGTTATTGATAGACAATGGCAGAATAGTTAAGACAGGTACACTGGCTGTCCTGTTATGCATTCGTTCGTGCCTGTATGCCAGTCTTGAAATGGCTTGAGCAAAGATGGACATGAGGGAGTAGGATTAACTAGTGGGAACCCAGTGATAAAGAGCTTGAGGACTCTGCTGTGGGCAAAGATGGGGTGGAAGGGAATGTGCAGATGCACAGATAAAACAGAACAACCCTAGAGCTGAGGGGCTAAGGCAGAAGGCCATAGCAAGTTATATGGAGCAGGGCCTTCAAGGGTGCAGGTACTGTGAGAGAAAATAGGAAATGTTATGAGAGAACAAAACTACCATTTCACAGCAAGAGGCAGTGAGTAACTGACAGCTGTTCCTCCCAGACTGAAGTTTTGCATGTCTCTCTTTGCAGGTACACCAGCTGATATCTTGCCACTTGTGGAATTCTTCCCCAAGTTCAAGAATGTGGACAAGAGGCAGAAGAATAAAGGTCTGTATGTGGCAAGCTTGAGGAAGGTCTGGGCCAGCACAGCTCAGCTGACCACCCAGACAGAACCCGTACCTGGTAACTGCTGGCCCTAGAGCAGATATCCCACCACCTTGCTCTGCTGTGGCAGTGCTGATCTGTGGATAGTGTGTTCATAGAGGAGGGGAAGCCCTTGTATCATTGGATATTAGTCTGGAGTACTGTTTGAACCTTGTTCCACTTGTGGTCCAGCTTTGAAGGTCTGCCAGGATTGGTGCACTATCTTGAAAGAGGAAAGAGGAGGGAAGAAAAGTCTCCTTCATAGCCTAGACTTGTTCTGTTCACAGCAAGGAGCAGCTGCGGGAAGAACTTACATTACACTGACCTTTGCTTTGACCTCCATTCCCACAGCCCCCGATGAACAGGGCCAAGAAGAGGCTGTAGAGACAGAGGCAGAAGAAACAACCCCAAACAATCATCTAATCCACAAGGAGGAAGAGAAGAAAGAAGGGGCAGTAGCTTTTCAGGTTTACAAGGCATACTGGCTGGCAGTGGGCAGCTGCTTGGCTTTATCCATTCTCTTCTCTCTGTTCCTGATGCAAGGTGAGGGAATGGCCCAGCAGCACATCTCTCTTTAGACATTCCTCACCTCTCATTCCCTGGTTGTGTGGAGTCCAGGGAAGAAAAGAGTCCAGGGGTTTAATTGCTCTCCCTACAGCAGGAAGATCCCTGTTCTTTTCCCCAGGCTAACGTATCACAGTTGTGAGGGGGCACGTGTGGCAGCAGGATCTGGCATCTTACTGCTGCAATTGTGTGTCTGCTTCTCTAGCACTGCCCTGTTGCTGCTGCAGCTCAAGGCTGTTCCCTTGCTCCTGCTTTACTAATAACAGTGGAGCATGCAGGCAGGGGAAGACTAGACTGGTCAGTGAGGCAATAACAAAAGTTGTCCAGGATTTTCCTCTCCAGCTTTTCTGCTTCATATTTGCTGATTGGAAGGTTGAATCCCTCTTTATGTAGTCTGTCTTTCTTCGTAGCATCCAGAAATATTTCAGATTGGTGGCTCTCACACTGGATCTCCGGCATATCCCAGACAGCAAATACTTCTGTGGTGGTCTGCTCAGCTTCCCCACCTTCCCCAGAGTTGCTTCTCTTCTCCGTTGTTGGGCTTGTGTAAGTGAATCTGGTCAGGAGATGCCAACGGGAGCACACTCCCATTTTTGCCTTTAACTGCATTTCCTGTGAAGATCCTTTCTGAGAGCAGGGATAAACTGACCACCCCACTGCAGGGGATCTGAGTGGCTGCATTTACAAAGAGAATCGAAATCTCTGACCTGATGAGGGGCCCAAAGGGTCTCTGCCTGGGGCTGATGGAAGCTAGCTGCATAGTAATCAAAGTGTTTGTCACAGCAAGCCAAAGGGATATCACAGGAATATCAGGTTTAAGTGTCCTGGTTTCCCCTTGAGCATGCTCCTACGTTCTCCCACCCTATCTGTGAGTTTACTGTCATGGGGACCTTAGCGGATTCCTAACCTTCTTCCTTCTGTGTTCCAGCTCCCCCATTCAGGCTTTGGATGCCACCCCAGCCCCTTCCAATGGCTCACTGGATGTGAATTTTTACCTGATGGTTTACGGAAGCATTGCAGGGGCCAACTCCCTCTTCACCATTCTTCGGGCCTTCCTCTTTGCTTATGGCACTATCCATGCTGCCACTGTCATTCACAACCGACTGCTCCAGAGGGCTCTAAAGGTAATGGTCAAAAAGTCCGCTCTAAAGGTAATGGTCAAAAAGTCCAGGGCAGGCTGAGGCTTCTTCAAGTCACTCTGCCTTGACACTTTTCTCCTAGTTGGGAGTAAGGGTTTGGGAGGTGCATTAGGGTTTCTGCTGGTATTAGCTGACTATATCCAAAAAAGGGCTGCACCACAGCCAGCACAAGGGACCAATGAGCTGAAGTTCTAAATTTGTCCCATAAACCTTGTTCCATTCCATGGTGAGGGAGGGGAGTTATGACTACCACCTGCATCTATTCATTCATTAGGCTTAGATACATAGGAAGATGAAGGCAAATTGAATCAAAGTAGCTTTTGCTACTCATCCTGAGCTCAGATTCAGATGAAATTGGAAGGAATCATTAAGCAAGATTTAGGGCTGATGCTGGCATGTGCCAGTTAACTTTCTTTCGTATTTGGGCATCCTTGGGTTCTTGGGCTAGAGTAAGGATTAAAGGTTTGGAAGATAGGATTAGAGGCTAGGATTAGAGGGTTGTCTCACTGGCTGCTGGTGGGTCAGTATGGGATCTGAGTCACTGCTATCTCGGTAGCTGCCTGCCATTCACCACAGAAGGGCTCCTTCCTTTTACCGTATAAACAGCATGAGTTAACATGGCTGAAAGTGGATGCTGGCTTTGGAATCTGAGATCTCTTCTTCAGCTGAGGAAAGGAAGGGGTCTGTCATGGCCACCCCTTTGTGGCCTTACCTGCTGCCCATGGTGCTGATCTCCTGGGCACTGTTCTGTGGCTGGATCTCACTGTAGCTGACTGGTTCTTACTTTTTGGTTCTCTTCTTGCCAGGCCACAGTTACTTTCTTTGACACCACACCAACAGGCCGGATCCTGAACCGCTTCTCCTCAGACCTGTACAGTGTGGATGACAGCCTGCCATTTATCCTCAACATCTTCCTGGCCAACATGTATGGGCTTTTGGGCATGCTGGTGATAATCACCTATGGCCTCCCTTGGATTGGTCTGATTTTAATCCCCTTGGCTGCCCTCTACTTCTCCATCCAGCGCTATTATCGGCGCACGTCCCGGGAGCTGAAACGCCTTTACAGTATCACCCTGTCACCTCTTTACACTCACTTCTCAGAGACCCTCTCAGGACTGAGCAGTATCAGAGCCATGAGGGCAACACAAAGGTGAGCAGAAAAAAGAGCACCCAGAGAGCCAGAGCTTTGGCTTTATATACCAGGGCCTTTCTGATATGAGGCTAATTACAGGGTAGCAGGAATGCCCTTGGTCTGGGGCAGCAGGAATGGAGGTTTAGTAGTGTAAACCTCTGTTGTGTACCTGCCAGGTTTGAGATGGAGAATCAGCTGCGCCTGGAGCAGAACCAGCACTGTCTCTTTGCCAGCAACACAGCAATGCAGTGGCTGGACATCCGCTTGCAGATGATTGGAGTTGCTGTGATTACTGCTATTGCAGGAATTGCTATCATCCAGCACCAGAAGCAACTGGGAAATCCAGGTAGGCTGCCAGGAATTGTTCTGTGCCCACTCATAGGCTGTGGCCAAGGGGTTCCTCCTCTCCTAGCCCAGAGTTGCATATCTTTCTACATGGGATAAGATCCAGAGCTCCTGCTCCCTGTCCCTCAGCAAGTCACCCACAGTATAGTGCTTCAGTTCATGTTCTCCTCCTGTGTGTCCCCATCCTCAAGTGGGATCCCAGACTCCAGGGTGCTGACTTCTTTGTTTCTTTGTCTTGCCACCAAGATCCCAGCTCCTTCTCTGCCAATAACATTCTTGCTTATGTTTTTGTCCTTGCAGGACTTGTGGGTCTGGCACTCTCATATGCCCTGTCAGTCACAAACCTGCTCTCAGGCCTCATTTCCAGCTTCACTCTGACAGAGACCATGATGGTGAGTGTGGAGCGGACAGAGGAATACAGCACAGACATCCCCATGGAGCCCCAGGATAAACTGGTCCAGGTAAAAGCTCAAATATGTTCTCTAGGACAGGCCCATTTTCTGACTCTGTGCCCTGCACTTGCCTCCTGGGGAGATTGCAGGGTTCCAGTTAATAAGTGGAGGTCCCTCAGCCTTAGAAGCCACCTTGATTGCTCATCCTTTACCAGTACGTATCCTGGGGGAGATGAATCTCTGGCAGGAGTTGGTGAAAGTTGGAATGATGGGAAGGGGTAGGAGAGCAGAATGGGTGCTGGGTCCAAGCTGTGAGAGAAAAACAACCCTAGAAGGGGACTGGAATTGGAGCAGTGCTGTGTGTTGGGTCTGCTCAGAAGCCAGACAGCCATCCAGAGGGATAAATGGGGCTTGGCCTGTGGGGAGGTGAGGCTGAAGGTGATAGTGGATCACAGTCGTACCCTGTCTCACCTATGCATCCCTTTTAGGTCGCTGCTGACTGGCCAAGTCAGGGGCTTGTAGAGTTCCAGCAAGTGGTCCTGGCCTACCAAGGGGGCTTGCCTAATGCACTTGATGGTGTGAACTTCACCATTTACCCTGGAGAGAAGGTGGGGATTGTGGGTCGCACAGGATCTGGAAAATCCACCCTTTTCTTGGCCCTTTTCCGCATGCTGGAGCTAAAATCAGGACAGATTCTCCTGGATGGTGTCAACAGCAAGCTGGTGGGCTTGGACGAGCTGAGGTACGGAGGGCTGAGCACAGTGGAGGGTAGCTGGCGGGGGCTGGAGGCTGAGAGCTGTCAGTGGTTGGGTACCAAAGAGAAGAGTGAGGAGCAAAGGACTTATAATCATGGCAACCTCTTGCTGATTGTGGTAGTTTCTTTTGAGTTGCTCAGTTGTTTCTGACCAGCTGTGCTAAAGAAACCGGACTGAGTGTGTTACCTGTGTCTCTTTGCCTCTAAAATATGCAGCAAGCAAAGACACCCCACCCCAGGAAGGAAAAACTACCGGCCTTCGTTTTTCTGTGGAACCCACCCCATGAACCCTCAGCTCTCATTTGGTTGCAGATCTAGGCTGGCCATCATCCCCCAGGATCCATTTTTGTTCAGTGGTTCAATCCGAGAGAACTTGGACCCCCAGGGAAAAAGGAAAGATGCTGAGCTCCGTGAGGTGCTAGAGCAGTGCTACCTGTGGGATACTGTTACTCAAATGGGTGAGTCTGAACCCAGTGAGATGCAGCTGGTGAGCCCTGGTACTGAGACAAGGGAAAAGGCCTTAGCTCAGTCAGGGAGATGAGGAAAAGGGCCAGGTGAATGCATTAAGGAACTGGTTAGGTGAACACAAGGACCAGGGTGGGAACAGGTCTGTGGGAGTTAGTGGCATTCCATGAGGATTAGTATCAAGGGACTGGCAGATGATGGACTGGGGGCAGGATCTTGCTGATGAGACCTGGCCCCAGTGGATGTTACAGCAAAGCCTGAGAGATAAGCCAAGCCCCAGTTCTAGGGGAGTGTGGCATTTTTGTGCCACATGTTGCATCCAAGCATAAGGGCTCTGGTTCCCAATGTTTGGGTTTGAGCAGGACTGGGATATTGAGTGCTTCTGCAAAAGCCCCAGACTGGGGAAGCTGTTTGGGGCCCTGCGCGGAGCCTGGTGGTGTGACTGCTGAGCTTGACCCCCACAGGTGGATTGGACAGCGAGCTGGGAGAGAGGGGAAGGAATCTGTCTGTGGGCCAGAGGCAGCTGGTGTGTCTGGCGAGAGCCCTCCTGACACAGGCCAAGGTGAGTGCCCTGCCTCCCTGGAGCAGGGGGGAAGGGGAGTGAGCTGCTGATGGGTGTGGGAGCAGCAGAGTGCTCCAGAGTTGGGGTGTGATGGCAGCAGACATCCTGTGCTACCTTCTCAGGCTTTCTCTCGGGAGGGATTGGGGTGTCCCCTGGGGCACTTGGAGAGCTCCCATTACTCTCTGTCCCTGGCAGGTACTGTGCATTGATGAGGCCACAGCCAGTGTGGATCAGAAGACAGACCAGCTGGTGCAGCAGACCATCCGCCAGCGCTTTGCTGACAAAACTGTTCTGACAATCGCTCACAGGTACGGAGGATGCAGCACTCTGCGCCTAAATTCATCCCACCACTCACAGGGAGAGGTGGAGCTATTCTACCATGCCTGGGCCTTGAGCTGAGCAGGGAGGACTCTGTGATGAGGCTTTTCAAGTGTAAAGGCGGGATCTTGCCTACTTGCCTTTTTTGCTTTATTTGCCCTGGGTGCTGAGAACAACTGGATGCGGAAATGTTGTACCCAGAAACTGGGAGACAGCAAAGGGCAAAAGGCTGCATTGTATGGCAGATGGCTCTTCCTGGGCACTGCTTCTTGGGACTGGGGAGTGAATCAGACCTCGTGGTTCTGCCAGTTTAGAACAAGGAGTAATGGACAGCTATCTTGTGGAAAGGAGCAGCATTGAGAGCGGGTAGGAGCAGGTGTCTCTGGCTCAGTAGAGGGCACTGCAGGACAGCCGTGGCCAAGGGCTGCAGGCAGCTCCTGGGTAGGCAAAACGCTGGGTGTCTTGTTTCCAAAGCCCAGGCAAGACACAGCGACAATGCCTGCCGCGCAGGTGAGAAATTTAGGGTTAGAGTAGGGAGACTAGCTAGTTGCAGGCAGAGGGAGGAGGGCAAAACATGAATACCGTGGATACTGGGAAGGGATGGGTCAGCATTAGGTAGTGCTATCTGCCCAGGGTGCTCTTACTCTTGCCAAATGGAGAACAGTTTGGAGGAGGATTATGCAGTTGTATGGAGGGTGTTTTCAAAACACAAAGAATACCACAAAAATAAAAACCAGATGAGCAGGGGCTGGTGTCCTGGTGCACAGAAGTGGGTAACAGACAGGGTGGGCTGGGCATGGAAAGTGAATCGGGTGGGTCTAGTTAAATACATCAGATAGGACAGAGGCAGGAGGGGTGTGGAGGGAATGTGGTTCATACAGTAGGGATATTGTGCCTAAATAGAGTAGAAAGGTAAGAGCACCATGGGCTGAGGTGTGTGTTTGGGTTTGGTGGAGGGAGGCCACCTCTGATGGGAGTAACTAGAGAGGAGAACCAGCAGAGAAAGGAGTGGCTGAAGGTGAGGCAGCAAGACTGGGTTGAAGATGGCTCCAGCCCCTCTTGCACTGGGTTGAGGAGAGATGGGGGAGAGCAGAAAGGAAAGGTGGTAATGGAGTTGTTTTGTACTCATGCTTCTTTCATGCCATTCAGCTTTGGGTGAACCATAATTGGATGTTTAGGTGAAAATCTAGGCTGGAAAATGACTCAGTACTTGTCCCTTGCCCCTCCACACCACTTCCAGTGCTGCAGCCTGGCACTCTTTTGGGGATGGATGTGTAACCAAAGTCCTTAATTCCACAATGCTTTATGCCTGTTCAAATTGTGTACAATGTCTTCCAGATTTGTTGGGCTGTAGTTCAGCACTGAACAGGACATGACTGTGCAAAGACATTCCTGCTGCCCTGTCTTCCCTCCCCAGGGCCAGAGGTTGCTGCCATGCTTAGTAATTCGGGCAGAACAAGGTACAGACATGTGGTGTGGGTGTGGTGACTGGCAGTCTGGCAACCACAAATCCACTGGTGGTGACAGTGTAAGCAGAGATGCCAGATAGCTGGGGAGTGGCAACTGATGCTCAAGTCCACTTCTGCGGCCCTCAGGAGGTGGCAGGTAAGGAAATGTAGGGGCAAACAGAAGCAACTCAATAACTCTCCTGTGGAAGAGAGACATCTTGTGCAACCCTACAATCAGGCGTGCACTGAGCTTTCCCTCCACAGAGCTTCCCTCTGTGCTCCTGATGGCCTGCCATGCCCAGCAACAGAACAGCATTGCTGTGCTCTCCTAAGAGGTGGTGCATTTCAGCAGCATGCAGAGGCTTTCTGGGAGCTGGACTGCAGTGTGCCCCTGAGTGCAAAGGGAGATGGTCCACAGATCCTGATGTTGGCAATGTCAAGGGACACCCCTTGACAGCAGGGGAAGCAGTATTCAGGGTTTCTCCTCAGATACACCTATGTGTATCCTGGTGTTTGCTGTCCACAGGTTGAACACCATCCTAGACTCGGACCGTGTGCTGGTGATGCAGGCTGGAAGAGTGGCAGAGCTGGATTCACCCACCCGCCTAAGCCAGAAAGATGGCTCCTTGTTCCAGCGCCTCCTGCACAGCGGGCAGCAGTGACTTCCTCCTGGGCTGAGCCCAGGCAGCCCTCCTGGCTCTGTGCCTGGCTTCCCCCTCACCTATCAGCACTGTCACTGCAGGGCCAGTAGCTGCTGAGGTGAGAGAAGGGTTTATTCCTGCCTGCAGACAGTGATTGTGAGTCCTCAGGGATTCCCTGAGGCTCCTGCATGGCACTGCAGCCTTTCCTTTAGTAGGGAAGATGGGATCTGGTGTTTAGGGCCATGCAAGCCTGGCTGTTGGGATACTGCTCCCCTCCAAGGCTCCCCTTTGAGATGACAGAGGGATTTTCTGCTCACTGAACAATCAGTGAATCCTAATCTGAGACTTAGTCTCACATGTACAATTTAAAATAAAAGTGGAAACATCCTTGTGAAGCTCTGTTATTCAGGTACCTGTCCCCTTTCCCCGAGACACAGACTTCCTTGTGACATACAGCAGTAGTGCCCTCTCTGCACAAAGACAACCCTACTTCCTCCCTACTTTCAGAGGATGCTGACCTTACAAAGCCCAGAAGGTTGCACCTGGGCACCTGGCTGCTCTTCCTCCACTTTATAGTGGAAAAGCCCTTCCCCTGAAGGGCCAGAATGTGGGTGGTTACATTAAAGGCCTCTAAGGCTAGTTTGCTCCAAGACCACTTTTCCAAGGGAAACTCCTTATCCCTCCTGCCCTGCTCCCAGCTGCACAAACCCACAGCTGCTTTCAGTTTTGGGATCAGGTTGGGGTCCAGACATCACTTGCAACCTGAATTATTTTATGATTCTCTGATACGCTGTTTCTGGGCTTGTATTTGTTTTATTTGATAAAGGTACATCATCCATCCATGTATTAAAAATATAATCTTTCTGATGAAGCCCCAGTCGCCTCTTCCAGGTCTCTCTCCTGGCTGAGTGCTCAGTCCTCTGTCTGCTCCCTTCACACATCTTGAACCCAGCTCTGCAACTCTACAGGCCAGTAGCAGGGTTTGGGTTGTGGGGTGTTTTTCACCCCACTGCTTAACTCTTCATGCCCGTGTGGAGGCTTGGAAAGCCCTGGCCCTGGCAGAGAGACGTTGACTGCTGCATACCAGAGCAGTGCAGGCAGGAGCAGAGCTAGTACAAGGGCCAAGTTACCTGGCCATCTATTTACTGCCTCTTAGCCGTGCTTTAGCAGTGATGAAGGCAGTATCTTATGCTACCTATGGTCATCCTAGGCTCGGTAGCCTGTCCTCACATACACTGTGGGGAGTTCTTTGCTGTATCAAGAAACACTGCAGTGGCTGATTTGAGCTGCCTGTCTTGGAGCGACTGGGAGAGAAAAGGGGGATCTGGATTCTTATATTGCTGCCACAGCACATCTCCAGCCTTGTCCATCAACCTGCCACAGCACATCTCCAGCCTTGTCCATCTCCAGTTTCACCTGTGACAGCATATGAGAAGGACCAGCTCAGGCCTACAGGACCCCAGAAGGGAGCAGGCCATGCTCCCCATTACCCGAAAATATTGAGGCAGAAGTGCACACGGGAGCAGGCAAGGAGCTTGGTCATTTGTGGCCAGACCTGAAAGGACAGCTCAGTAAGTGGGGGCAAGAAGATCGCTGGATCATCAGCAGGAAAGTACGGAAAGTGTTTGTAACCCCAAGTCTGAGAGCAAGAGGAGGGGACATTACCCAGGGCAGAAGGGCATGAGGGGACCCCAAATGATCTCCAGAGTGTCTTTGAACTGGCTCAGAGAACCACAAGGCCAAGGAGCAAAGGTGTTTGCTCGCTCCCTAGGGACATGGCATCTGAAATGACAGCCTCCAGAAACAGCTGAGAGCCACCCCGTCCAGTACTGGGGCAGAAGGCCTGTGCAGCCACAATCGTCCTGAAGGCCTCAGAAGAAATACCCCAATACCAGTGGAAATGAGGACAAAGCCCTCTTCCTGTAGTCACAGAGAGACGTTACAAAGGGCCTGGCAGAATTTGGGTTTGCAAGAAGGCTGTGCCCTCCTCAGCACTCCCTGTCCTGTTTCTGAGGGCGCAGAGCGGACGATACCGGCACTGCACGGCATGGGCTGCTGCAAGCGGCACGTCACTGCTCCCCTGCAGGGCTCGCCCATCGCAGCCCTGCTTTCAGGTGCCCATGGGTGCTGTCTGAGCACACAGCTCAGACCCAGGCAGCGCCATCACACCAATGCTGGATGCCCAGGGGACTCGTGGATGCATTTGCTGCCCTGGGAGCCCTTCCCTGCTGCCCACCTTGTGCTGGTGCGGCTCCCCAAGGTGCAGTTCGAGGGGGTTGGTGCCAGGGCCCAGCTCAGAGTCCTCCCAGCTCACAGCTCTGTTGTCTTCCTGGGCTCAATCAGGACGGTGTTGAGCATGCCCACCTGACACTCCTGGTCTTGCAGCTTCCTCTCAGCCTGGGAAGGGCTTTGGCACCAGTTTGACCTCTGGCGGCCCCTTTGCCAGTTCCTCAGCAGGAGCAGGACGGTGATGAGGACCAGCACTGCTGTCAGCACCCCGAACACCAGCACTGTCACCAGCTGGGCTTCACTCAGCCCTGAGTCCCTTTGGGTCACCACCTCCTTCACAGAGATTTTCAACAACCCTCCCCCCGGCTCTTTCTCGCTGTGGTTGGCCACACGCCGCCCCGTGACTGCGGTCCTGACAGGCTCCGGCTGCGTCACCCCCGGCATCTCGCTGGTGGTGCTTTTCACAGCTCCGCTGCTGTCATGGTTCACAGGGTGGTAGGGGGGAGCCCATGTGGGCTCGGGGACGGGGATCTCGCAGGTTTTGCCAGTGAAGCGATCAGGACACAAGCAGTCATAGTCATTGATGCGGTCGTAGCACTTGGCCCCGTTCTTGCACGGCTGGCTGGCGCAGTCGTTGATGTTGATGGTGCAGAAACGCCCTTCAAAGCCCACCTGGCACTGGCAGGAGAAGCGGTTGATGCCGTCGTGGCAGGTGGCGCCGTTGGCACAGGGACGCATCAGGCAGTCATCCACGTCCTTCTCGCAGAGAGCCCCCACGAAGCCAGCGAGGCACCGGCAGGTGAAGTTGCTGGCAAAGCCGTTTTCATCTTGACACTGCCCCCCGTTCTTGCACGGAGACCTGCGTGGAGACAGCAAGGGAGGGTCATGGCCATGGAGAGCAAGCGGCTTCCCCCACCCCAGGAAGGGGAGCACACAGAGCTGCTCGTGTGAACAGTGGGTCCGGCACCGTCTCTGCATGAGGCAACTACCTCAAAGAGAAGACCAAACAGGAGTTTCCACCTCTCCAGGTGAGAGGCTGTGGGACATCCTCAAGGGCTGTGGCTGTGCACGGGCCCACCACCCACCAGGGAGGGTCTCCAGCCAAGTGATCTGAAGAGAAAAGGCACCCTCCTGACGTTCCATCAAGGCACGGCCTGTGTCAGCTCATCCCCCTTACGACACCAATGACCTTGCCCCAGTGGGACTGTGCGGTGCACGCAGCTAAACCAAAGCCAAAGGTGGTTTTGGCTTAACTCCATTAGCACATGGAAATCCACAGATAACAAGCCCAGCAGGGCCACCTCTTGGCAGTGCATGGCCCAAAGTTAATGCTGGCTGTAATGTCACTGCCCTCGCTGCCGTGTCTCACCCTGCCTTCTCACATGGCCCCGTCTTCATCTCACAGTCCTTCCCATGGAAGCCTTCTGGACACAGGCAAGAATACTCCCCGTCTCGATCGTAGATGCACTGAGCCCCGTTCTGGCATGGGGGGGACTGGTGTTCGCAGATGTGTATGTCTGAGGGGAAAGGAAGAAGTGGGAATCAGCAAGAAAAGAGGGGCAATGTGGCCAATTCAGTTCAAACACACTCAGTGAAACCCAGTGGGGATGGAGAAACTGCAGGAGCTTTTCCCTCCACCCATCCAACAGGCATCTGCAATAGAAATGCAGTGCCTATGTGGCACCTCCCAGCTACAGTCCACAAAGTGCACAGGCTTCGGGATGCAGAGAAAGCAAATCATCCTGCAGATCTGCACGATGTGAAGGTGCTGTGTATGCCATCTGGCCAGCCAGTGCAGACCCCATGGCACAGAGGAGCCTCTGAGGCCAGAGGAGGGGAGTCCACCAGCCACCTGCCAAAGGCAGGAAGCCCTGGGGAAAGCAGGAGGTGTTGCCTGGAGCCCAGCCACAGCATGGGAAAGGCAAGGAGCCTGCTTGCTCCATGTCCCAAGGCTGGCTGGTACTGTGGCAACTCTTGCCATGCAGCCAGGGAGCAGGTGCCGGCTGCCTGACCTATTCTGCCCAGATGTGGCAGCCAAGCAACATCCCATCTCCCAGGCAGCCTAACAGCATACCCTGTGGGGCTGCTGGCCAGACTGGCTCACCTGTCCGCGCAGGGCTTGCTGGGCTTCTGCCCCCAGCACCAGAGGCTGTGATGTCCAGCCCAGGACTCACCTTTGTCACAGAATTTGCCAGCCCATCCGGTGTGACAGATGCACTGCCAAGGCTGGTGGCATGTCCCATGGAGACACCCCGGCATACGCACACAGTCCTCGCAGTACTCGCCCTCCCAGCCTGGGTCACACCTGCAGGAGGACAGGGCATGGCAGCATGGTAAAACCCCAGCAGGGGCTATGGAGCAGCTGGCTGCTTGCTGTGCAGGGCTCCTGCAGGTATGGCAGCGCTGGGAAACCCTCCCAAAGGCCGTACCTGCACTTCCCATCCTGGTCGCAGCAGCCGTGGGCAAGATTACAGCGCTCGCTGCAGTCATCACCTACAAGGCAGGAAAAGGGTGGAGTTGGGTTAAGCAGAGACCACAGATGACTCCAGATCTGCCCATGGTCCTTCTGGCTCACAGGGGTTTTTTCTTACTTCCTAAGCACTCGGCATGCCCTTCCCCAGAACCTTCCTTTCAATGGCTGGATGCCACATGAGAGATGAGGATTTCACAGTTACCCCAGCAGAAATGACACTGCCTTTATTGAGAAAGGGGACCCTGCTTGAAAACTACCTGGTTTCCAATCATCTCCATGTCTCTCTGCTGCCTCACGTAGACTTCAGGCCCCTCTGAGCAAGAGCTGGGTTTGCCCAGCACACCACACTGCGCATTAAGGTGACCTGTGTAATAGAGCCTGACTCACCGGGGACCTTGGTTATGAAGCAAGCATAGCGGGAAAGCTCAGGGCCAGGTACTGCAAGGGGGACAAAGGAACTGAGGATGGAAATGGGAAGAATGGTTCCTCTTTATCTCCCAGGAAGTCCCTGTCCCCAGAGACAGCCATTAGCACAAAGAGGTCTGGTCAGGGCTCCTGGCCTCCTCCAGAACGCTGTTGCCAGCACTCCCCTCCGGCATGGGGAGGTATGGAGCTAGGTATCTGTTTATTTATTTAAAGTTCTGTTTATTTATTTAAAGGCAACAGAAGCTGTAACTGAGCCTTGGCCTCGCTGTGCCACTTCTCATCCTCTGCTCGGTGCTGGCCTGTTTTCTCCAGCAAGGTATCTTCTTTCATCTTCACCTTCCTCTCTGCCTCATCACTTGCTTGCATCTTAGCCCAACAAGGAGCTGGCACTCTCTGGCTCCATGGGCAGTAAAGCCACAGCAAATGTCAGGAGGCAGGGGGTTTCTGCAGGAGCCTAGTGTGATCCCAGGCCAGGCCCAGGAGATGAACACCCTTACCTGACTGAGCCCCTCCATCCCAGACAGGGGCAGGTTAAAGTCCCCATGCCAAAAGTCATGCTCTGACTTCCCCCAGGCTGTGTGATGTGCTGCCTAGGAGGTGCGCAGGGGGAGAAACACCTCATGCATGCGTGTTTGCTGCAGTGAGGCAACAGGTCCTACTGCTCAGGATAACAACCTCCCAAAACAAGCCACTGTGGAGCTGGAGAAGCATCCCGGGACTGCTCAGCCTAAGCCTGGGAATCATCACCTTTCCTATTTGTAACCACCTCTCCTGGCACAAAGCTTTGGGAATTCATTGCCTATTGGAGTAGCGGGAGAGCAAACTAATCTTTGGGAAAGGATTTTGTCTCATAGGATCCACAATTAGCTGTTCCATTTGGGATCTTCTTTCCCCCTCGTCCTGGCTCTCCGAACAGGCTCATTTGTTTAGGAACCCATTCACGCCAAGACAGAGCAGTGGGACCTCTCACTGCTGGTCTGCTCAGGCACTGCACCCCCATGGGCATCAGAGTGAGGGTCTCTACAGTTGCTGGGTGACTGAGCAGCATTTTCCGCTCTTCCAGGTCAGACCACCTCTATTTTGCATGGAAAACGGAGAAGACTACAGCAATGCCAAGAGTAGGTTTGGAAAGATGGATATGAAAGAGAAGTACCCATGCCTACAGAGACTCACCTTGGGCAAGTTGGTGATGGGCCAAGAGGATCCAAACCAAGGACATGAGCTGGAGACAGAAGCTCCTGAGCATGGTCAGTGTGGCCCCACCGAGATGAACACCTACAGAGAGAAAAAGAACAAGCTCAGAAAAATCCCCTGGCTCACACCGCAGCTTCACTTCACGCATCCCTTCCTCACTACCTGAGAGTTTTGACTTGAAACATCCAGTTTTGTACAGACTTGTCACCACACTCCTCTCTGTCCTTCCAGACTCCTTCCTCTAAGGCAATGTTGGAGCACCAAGAATCAAAAAGCCTTTTAAAATGTACTCTACAGGAGAACTGAGTGTGCACACTCCACCCTGAACATATAGTATCTCAGGCTGTTACACGGCATCTCAGAGCACCTACCCTGGCCAGCTGCTGTCAACAGAGCCAAATCCTCCAGAAAAAAAACATCCCAGCTGTGGGGACCTTTGTCTGGGGGGCTTCAGCTTTGTGTTAAGCAAAATCCCTCCTGTGCATGTTCGAATGAATAGATAGGCTGAGTCTTTTTACAGCACCCAGGCTGCTTTTCAAGCCCTTCAGGAAGGCAGGGAGTCGAGTGGATCTAGCAGGTGAGCAGGCAGTAAACAGCAGCCCTATTCCATTTTCCAAGCAAGGGAGTGAAGCGATAGGCACTAGACCCAAGCTGCAGCCCCAGGTAGGAAAGGCAAACACGCACCTCTCCCTAGGTGCAGTCTTTCTCCTCGGCTGTCCTGCAGAGAGCCCTGTCAGCCCAGCGTTCCTGCACCCATCTATTTTCCGACCGCCTCCTGCCCTCTTGAAATAACATTAAATACTTCCAAAATCACTTCATTCCCTCCCAGCCTCCTGGGGTTGTTAAGGGCAGGAAATTTGAGGGTGATATCATAAATATATTACTATAATGAGATGGGAGGGGTTAAACAGTTGTACTAGGAGAGCGGTGAAGGTATGGAGCAGGCTCCAACCAGTTGCGTGGGTGTGATGGACAGGGGCCATTCCACTTTCAGCTTCACTCCTTAGCTTGGGAAGGTTGTGTTTGGTTGATAGTTACATGAAAGACTTCATAGATGGGAATAGAAGTCCTTCAACCCACTCACATGTACACATGCATTGCATAAAGAGGTTTTGGGGTCCCTACTAAGGGCCTCACCTGCCTGGACCAGACAAAATAGCCCACAAAAGCAATGATGTTGCTCGAAGCATCTCTCCAGCAAACAAACCATCACCAATGAAAGATGCAGGTTTTCAGAGGGGCTACAGGATGTTACTGTCACTGCCCCAGACAAATTCCAGCACAGACTGCTGCATCCTCCCTGCCCATAGTCCTCTTGTCACCACACTCGAGGACGCCCCCTCGCCTCCTGACCCAGAACACTGGGCAGTGGCGCACAGCTGCTGCATTTCAGGGGAGGGTGAAGCAATTCCTATGAAACTTACAAAATAATTTAGGGCTGAGCAGTTGGTCTCCTTTTCCTCCAGGGCTGTGGGGAGCTCAACCTTCGACCACATGTCATTGCAGAGGTCATTTTTCCCCATGGCTCCCACAGCGTTCCCACTCGAGGCACAGCCTCTTGGACCTCCTGACGTGGCCACACCACAGTTGCTGCCCCCAGCTCCCACTCAGGGACCCCTCGGACCCTGACAAGGCGCAGGGGGCATCCTGAGGGGCAGCTGGTGCGCAAGGGAGGTGCAAGCAGCACCCGGGCAGGCCTGGCTTTGGGTCAGAGGGATGCAAGGCAGGGAGCTCCCTCTGTCCCCCTCCTTCACTAGCGCCTGACCAGGCTGGGGGCTACTATCCTCAGGGGCTGCAGGCTATTAGAGATGGGCCCCGGGACTATTAAACTCCCCCTTGGGAATATTAGGGACCTCCGCACTGTTGGGGGCCAACAGGGAAACCTCGTGAAAGAGGCTATCACGTGCTGCCCCTAGTCTAAGGACCCCTCGGGACCCCCAGTCTATCACGCACTGCCCCTAGTCTAGGGTCCCTTAAGGACCCCTCGGGCTGCGGGTCCAGGGGCAGGGGTGGGAACCCGGAGGATGCCGCGCCGCTGCGGTTCCGCGCTCCTGCCTCTCCTCTCCTTCCCTGCGGCTTCGGGACCACCCCAGGCCCCCAGTGCCCCCCGGGAGTCACGGCCACGGGGGTGCCCGCCTTCCCCCCACCCCAAGGCCGGCCGGAGGGGACGATCCGCGGAGCCCCGCATCGCCCCGGCCCCACCGGTCCCCCTGCGGCCGGGGAGGCGGCGGCAGCGGAGGGGTTCCGGGGCATGAGGGGGCTCCGGGTCCCCGCCGAGAGCTGCCCCCCGTCCCCTGCTCACCTCGGCGACGCGGCGTGTCGTGGGGCTATCGCGGGGAGCGGCGGCGGGGGGCGGCCATGCCCGGCGCGGCGGCGGCGGGGCTGGGGAGGCGCGGGGCTGCGGAGGGAGCTGCCGCCGCGTGTGCCGCTCCGCGCCGCTCCGCCCGCCGCCGCCGTGCAGCCCCGGCCGCCTGCCAGCGGCTGCGTGTGCCTGCACATCCCCGCTCCCTCCCCGGGACATCCCGCCTCCCGCCGCCCCAAACCGCAGGCAGCCCCCGGCCCGGCCCGCCCTGCCCGCTCACCCCTGCCCTGCTCCCGCCGCCGGGGGCATGGGGAAGGGGGGGGGCCGGCACGGCCACACGCGGGCCCGCACTGCCCCCGGATGGGGGGGGAAGGGGGGGGGCTGCGTCTGCGAGGGTCACCGGTCCCGTCCCCAGAAGCGGCCCGCAGAGGATTGAGGGGTTGCCCCTGGCTGGGGGTGTCCTCCCGGCGCGGCCCTGCCCTAGCGGGGACCCCCGCCCGGACCCCCGCAGCTGCGCACACATGGTTGGGTAGGGGCCCCGGCCCGCTGCTGCTGGGCGCCTCCACCTCGCAGCCTGGTTCCCCCCTCAGCAGTAGGTGTGGGATGACCCCAGCCTTCATTTCATTCAGGTTATCTGAACCAAGCAAAACCGCCTTCTGCAGCCCCTCACTGCCAGCTTCAGAGGCTACCAATACACCTCGGCTGGCAAACCGCAGGGTTAGGAAGCCCCATGCTTAAGGTAGAGGTGCGAAGTGGAGTTGTCATCCCACAAAAATGAAGACATCCAGTGATCCCTGGCACTCCTCTCACTGCCGCTCACAAGCTGTGGAAACCAGCGCCCCAGCGTACAATACGACAGCCCTGGGAGAGGGGCTGAGCTGTCACATCTTCAGGAGGGACAGCTGCCTGCTCTTCTCCTCACCTTCCATGGCCTTGCTGGTACTTCACTAGATCATATCTGCCACCTTCAAAGGTTCTAGCAATCCTTCATTAGATCACAAGTTCACCTCAGCCAGCCCTCACCCCACGAGTTTTGCTGTTTTTCCACCAGGAAGGAAGAAGAACCACGTCCTACTGGCAGTTACCTGGATGCTTCCACATTCCATTTCATCTCATCAGACAAAGCTTAAGCCGTCCCTGCTCTCACCTTCTCCAGTCTCCCTGGCCTTCTACGGTTCCTGACAGCCCCATCAGCACCACACATCCTGTGGCACCTGTGGGTGGCCCCAGCGCCCCAGGACAGCCCAATAGACCCTCATAGCCCAGCTCTCTGCTGGCTCTGACTACAGACCCCTGCTTGCTCCATCCTCTGCAGGTCTGGACAACACAAACCTGAGCAGTAACATGGGATCCTCCCACCATGCCCACCACTACAGGTGCTGCCTCCTTCCTGCCTCTTTCCTGCTCTCCTGTCACCAGGAGCACTGTTCCTGTCCTTCCTGCCTCCTCCTGTCTCCATCACCCCACCTAACTTCTCCAAGGTCCCCAAGAACCAGGGAGGTCCAAGCCTCCTGCTGCTCAGGCTGCTCCACTGGCTCCCCAGGTATGCATGGAACAGGTGTGCACCCACTGTTCTGAGACGTTTCCTGTGGTTCTTCATCCATCCTCATCCCTTGATCCTTCACATCCAGCTCAGTCTGCTTCTGAGTCCTGGTTCACACCTTATCTGGGGCTCACAACAGAAGGGAAAGGGGGAGGCTGAGGGCAAAGCACAGCTCCTGGTACTCGTTTCAAAACCAGTCAGCCTTTCCTTCAGTGACTGATGCTCTAGGACCTGGGAAGATCCAGTCTTCTCCGATCCCCACAACACTCTGCCTTGCACTCTTCGCTCTGCCAATCATGGTTGGAGGCCAAGTTTTTACTGCTGGTGCCTCCAACAGTGAATGTAGGCTGCTCAGCCTTACCCTCACCTCCTCTTTGAAATCTTGTTGTCTACACCGGCTGCCTTAGATAAGGCACCTGTGACATCCTCACCTGCTCTTGCCCTCCTCTGCTGGGGTCTGCCCTGGTCCTGACCAGGCTGTGCTGTAATGCCATTGCACAACCATGCCTGGGTGCTCTGAAACCTCACACAGTTAAATGCCCCCAAGAAAACCCTCTGGATGCTATGTGTGCATTTGAACAGGCAGGTAGGAGGGTGCTTGTGGTGGGGTCCCTGCACACATTGATGCCCGTAAGTATTTGTGTCCACAACATGAACACTGTGAGAGAGGGAGATGGGATAAGGTTGCAGTAAGTGGAGCAGGACACGTAGATCTCCCTATGCTGCTTCTCTCAGAGGTGAGAGCTGTGTTGCAGAGCAAGGGATGTGCAGGCTGAGGAGGTAAAGCTGGCTGCTGGAGATCTGAACACTGAGGCAGGGGAATGTAGAATAGAAATGAGGGTGGGATTACAGAGCAGGGGAAAGGCATATTTGAGGAAATGGGATTTGGGGGGGGGGGTAGGTTTGGTTTTGCATGCGAATACCACAGACAGAAGCAGGCAGGGATGAATGGGAGTAAAAACGTGGGTACAGAAGAAGATGAAAGAGATAAGAAGGGAACCCAAACACTGTGGACCTTGGGTGTGCTCCTTCCTCAGCACAGAAGGGCTGCTGTCCCACCCCCAGACACAATCCCAAGCCCCAGAAGTCCTTGGGCTGCCCAGGGTGGCTCAAGCAGAGCAGCTCTATTTACAGACCCAAGAAATGGGTGTTGAAGAGGGGATTCCTGCACTTGGCTTAGACCTTGCTCTGCTGGGCTCTGATCCCTGCCATGCCATCCCTAGAGGCGTCTCGGATGGAACAGCTGCTGGGTCAGAATTAGGAAGGATTTTTTCCTAGCCATAAGAGTCCCTCTGCTGCTGTTCCCTCCGGTGAAGGAAATCCCACAAAGCAGGGACCTGGAGTGCGAACAGGAATGATCTGTCACCACAATCTCCCCCTCCAGTGCACGCCAGCCACAGGGTCCCTCCCTGGACATCCTTACAATGCACCATCACTGCTCCCAGACAGAGGGAGAAATTACCTGTCAAAACCAGCTGGGGCTGTTTCCCTTTCTTCCAGTGTCTGGAACCTACACCTTGGAGGCAGCCGGTCATCAGGGGAGAGCAGCAGATGCTGAGCTGAGGGAACAGGTGATGTTGCCTCTTTCCACTGAGGAGCCTTCCCTGGTGCAAAGCGAGAAAGAAACTCCTGTGCAGAAGCCTGGAGAAACGCACTGGTTCCTGCTCATTCTAATCCGAGGGAGGCAGAGGAGCAGCACAAACCAGCTGGAGAAAGACAGCAAGCACCTCCAAGCTGCCAACTCCAATGATCATCCTCTCCCGCAGCTCTCACTCCGCATCACCCTCTCGCCTTACGCAAAGCAGAAGCACAGGGTCTCTGGGTTAAAACAAATGTTCTCTGCCATCCCACCCCCCTTGCTTTTCCCATTCCACCCCAGCCCACAACAAACATCATCAGCTCACTGGCCCTGCAGCCATGTAACCCAACCCCAGCCATTGTTTCCCCTTCCCCAAGGTCTATATTTGACTCTGCGGCAGCACCGTGGCTCTGTGTGTGAGTGTGTGTGCGCACTCACTACACACGCACGCTCCGATATTTGTTCAGAGCCTCATTCCCCAGATGCCCGGGATTGCTTAGAAATAGCTTCCATGGGCAGTAGGTGTTTGTGCCTGCAGTGGGGAAGTGGAGGGGGCAGGCAAAAGAGAAGCAGGGAGAGGGTGAAGGTCAGAGGTGGAAAACCTCCTCGCTCTTCCCTCCCAGTATGCACTATCTCAATGATCTGCAGCTCTGCGGGGTGTGGATGGGCTGTGGCTGGACAATGACAACACTTGCTCTCAACAGCAGGACTAGTGGCAGAGCTGGAGAATGATGGAGGAAAGGCCAAGCTGTGGTCTTGGTGAGTCCATCCTGTGTTGCTTTCTAGCTTCACTTTCTAGTAGCAAAACTACAGGTCAGCCTCCAAAAGCCCTTCAAACTTTACTAACTCTGGAGGCTGAGACTACCAGAAATGGCACTAGGGGTGGAAGTGCCTAGTTCCCTTAGCCTGGTGGCTCTGCAAAGGGTACCTCAGCATACGGGAGCTGCCCTGGGATTCACCCTCCTCCATTTCAGTACTGCATTAAGGGTAGCCACCCTGGGCTACCCCGGGATGTATTTTGTATTTTCCCAAAGCCTCCAGGAATGCTGCCCAAGCCCAGTGTCACATTCCCCATGATCACAGAGTCCCTGGGAACACTCTCTAGGCTTGGCATAAGCCTCTTTTATTTGCATCCTTTGGAGCCTGCCAGGACACATGGCAAAATCAGCAGTATAAGTGCAGTCAAAATGAACAGCAGGAAGGATTGCCTTTATCCTAAACACTGGTGATCTGGGGAACTCATTGCCACTGGCATGCATTTAAGAATGTCTAGATGTCTGTATAGATATCGAGAATAAATAGGAATGAAATCCAAAGAGCTGTAAAATCTTGTGCTTCAGAGCACTGAAAATGAACTCTAGGCCATGGAGTAAGGAGCAGCTTTCCACAAGGGCAGTAACTGTGTGCAGAGCTATGCCTATGCCTTCCCCTGAGCCATGCAGACCTGACCCTGGGACAGGAAGGATGCTGTGTGTGAGAAGGCACCATCCATACATTCCCACCGGATGAAAGGGTGGCCCAGCATACATTTCCCATCACTAAGGCCAGGGAAGGATGGGACTGTATTGGATGCTCCCGTGGTGCCTGAGAGATGTCCTGGAGAGGTGATTCCTGAGTGTTCAGAGCCAAGTGCCAGCCCCTGTTCAAGTGTGACCGCCAGCTCTCCTCTCCTGTGCTCCGAGCCAGCTGTGTGGAGTCCCTCATTGCCAGGGCTGCTGCTTCCTGAGGGGTGTCTGTACCCTGCACCGGTCTCCAGGTTGCTGCTGTGCTGGGGCTATGTGACTGTCTGCTGGGCTGCTCCATTATAACACATCTTCTGAGTGTAGGAGTGTGGGTGTAATGGACTTAAGTTCAGTGCCTGGCAGCCCCCAAACCTGCTGTGAGGAGCTGGAAAAGTAAGCTTAAGTCACATGTTATTTTGAGATACAGATTCCCTGAGTCCACCCCAGTACTTCTATTCAAGACAAGACAGGGGAGGAGGGGAAAAAAATAGAAAGATTAAATACTGAAGGCAAAAGGAGTAGTTAGA